AGGTGTATGCATAGGTACCTTACCTATTGTTAAGGTATGAAGTTTTTATGAACTCTTATTACAAATTTTGATGTCGGTATACCTTGGAAAAATTTCATAATTCAATAAATAGATTTGCAATTAAATTCAAATCAAATATGATAATTAATGTCCTACAAATCAATAACTTACCAGTTTTAGGAATTCATAATTTACCTTATTTATGTTTTAGGTGCATAACTGGAACAAAAAACAAAAAATAAAAAAAAGTAAATATCAATAAATTGAAATAGGCATATAATCTTATGTGGCGCAAAAGTCAAAAGGACTTGGATCAACAACAATTTCTGCGTGGATTGCACCCAAAATCTCTCCTCATAATTGGACTTATGCCAAATTTTCTATATAGAAAATGTTACGTTATTTATTTATTTACAAAATGAGATTTTATTTTATTTTTCTATTTATTATATTTTTCTATTTATTTATGTAAGCAATATTAAGCTTTAGGGCAATATACGGACTCTCATCTCAGTTAGTATAACTAGACATGGCAATATTGTACACGACTTGTTAACACGACACGAATTCGTACGAAAATTTCAGTATTCAGGTCCAAGTTATCAGGTCGTGTTGATAACAGGTTGACCCATTAGCCACCTGTTAAGCTAACGGGTCGTGTCGTGTCAATTCACGAATACTCAATAACCTATTAAGAGCATGGGTATTTTTGTAAATTTATATCTATTTCTTTTTTCTCATTCTCTTTCTTCTCTTTCATCTCTTCCTCCCTTATTCCCCCAACCCTCTCTCTCCTCCAACTCTCTCTCTCTCCTCCAACTCTCTCTCTCTCTCTCTCTCTCTCTCTCTCTCTAACCGTGCCACCCTCTCTCTCCTCCTCCTTTACAACTCAGCGATGAAGTCCTTGAAGATGTCCAGAGATTACCAAGGAATTGAAATCTTCTCAATTTGGCCTCAAGGTTGTAGTTTAGTTACAAACAATATTGTAGAGTTTTTTAAATCCTTAATGGATTAATCAAATTAAGTTAAATGACTTACTTTTTAATTGTTACGTTCTAATCATGTATGAAATTGGATTTTCTTTGTGGATGAAATTGGTCCTTTGTTTTGTTGGGTTTTTAGGAATCCAATAAAAAAAAGAAAAAGAAAAACCATAGTGATGTGGTTGCATTCTTGTTGAATTTTTTTTTCTTCAATTTTTTAAATTATAGATTGTATTATGTCAACCCGTTAAGAAAAATGTGTTGACACGAATATTGCCAACGTGACATGATTGCCAGGTCTAAGTATAACGATCATACCATTACATGGTGTTACAATTTATTTATTATACAACACTAATATTCATTTATTACTAATTTACCATTAAGTGTGACGTACCAATCTCGCCCTTCACCAACTAGAGTAATAGAATTTCTCCTCTTCTTCCACGAGAAAGACTCATGTTTCGTGACACATGATAAGAATTCCACGTAATAAAGAGTGATTAAATCGAAATAGCAAAATAATACAATCCTCATAGAAGCTGTTCTCCCTCTAGCCGTCGCATCGCAGCTTTTGTTTGTTATCATCTCACACGTGGCAATAATATACACACACAAACGGCAACACGCTCGCATACGCAATTAAGCATACATAATCTTTGGTTTGGTTTTCGACCGCTTCAAATATCCATCATTGTTCATATCGTCTTCCCTCCGTCTACATTAACATAATATTAAGACGATTTCCACACATATAGACGGAAACGGAGAGAAGCCAAGCAATTAGTAAAAAGAGAAGAAGAGAAAGCAGCAGCAGCAGCATTTTTAATGGCGGCGAGTACTGGTGGTGGAGTAGGAGCAGAGGACGTGGTGAGGAACAAGCAGGTGATTCTGAGAGACTATGTCTCCGGCTTCCCCAAAGAGTCTGACATGCAACTGACCACTGGCACAACCAAGCTGAAGCTTCCAGAAGGTTCCACCGCTGGGGTTTTGGTGAAGAACCTCTACCTCTCCTGCGACCCTTATATGAGAAACCGCATGACCAAGCGCGACCCTGGCGCCAGTTATATCGACTCCTTCAACGCCGGTTCGGTGAGTCGCCCAGTCTCTAACTTGTTAATTGTTTTGATAATGTTTGCCTACTTTATTTCCTTTCAAATTCAAATCAAGTTTGAATCTTTTTTAGCATTTCTCTCTTCTCTGAGTTGTACATCCGAAAAGAAACCCAGTCCCATTTTTTTGGGATCGGCAGTACAATTTTATCGTATTTGTTGATTTTTCGGGCTGTATGTTAATGATTATGTTATGTGTGAGAGAAAAATTATGATGATTTGTGGTTTGTTTGTGATGATATCAATTATCCTTCTTCTCTTGTTCGCGAAATTGTCTGCACTAGTCCATATCAGATATCCAATCCACACTTGAGTTATGTATGTTGTAACAAATGAACATCCAAGATCCAAGCTTTATTAGTATTATGCCATCGGATGGATGAGACGTTTATAAGTTACAACTCATACCCAGGCCAGGAGGCCAGGATAGTGTCTACTCAATGTTGTACCCTAGCATTTCTTACTTTAAAATTTTATCTCATTTGATATTGAAATCCTCTCTCTCAGCCTATAACTGGATATGGAGTCGCTAAAGTTTTGGAATCTGCTAATCCCAAGTTTAAGCAAGGCGACTTGGTTTGGGGGAGGACTGTGTGGGAAGAATACAGCACCATCACTGCAACAGACTCTCTCTTTAAGATTCACAACACTGATGTACCCCTCTCTTACTATACTGGAATTCTAGGTGTGCTACTTCTTTGAATAATTTACAAGCACCTGTCCACAATCTTTTATGTTGGGTACCAACCCGAGTCTACTGACACTAGTTAATTTTTATTTTTTTAGACTATTCTCATGCTAAAGTTAGAAGTGAACAGATTGTGTCAAAATCCTATTGTTTGTTGAATGGTATTTCCTCATGATGAAAGGATTTTTGTATATTTTCATCTCTAGTTGTATCCTCCCTGCACTGTGACCTCTACGATATTAAGTTGAATTGCTTTTGTTAATTCTCACACTACTCTTCATAAATTAGATTTTCAAAAACCAATGTACCACATTCCTTTTCAAGATTAGTAATGTGGTTTGCAGTTCGGGAATTTCTTTAGCATAAAGTGATTCTACTTCAATGGGTCATACAGTCATTTTCCTGCCTGGATCTGGAGCTCTGCCCTCTGCTTGAATGTGATGCTGTAGTGATCCATCCTAATTAGTTCAACCAAGTTTTCAATAATATGGATTTGTAAATTGTGATGCATGATAAATCTGTTTGATGCTCAAGGATCATCTCATGTAGTTGCTTTGATGTATAGGTATGCCTGGAATGACTGCTTATGCTGGTTTTTATGAGGTTTGCTCTCCTAAGAAGGGAGAGACAGTGTATGTTTCAGCAGCATCTGGAGCAGTAGGTCAGCTTGTTGGCCAATTTGCAAAGTTGTCTGGTTGCTATGTTGTTGGTAGTGCTGGAACCAAAGAAAAGGTGAGTCATTGCAATTTATTGGTCAATGTCAACTTACATTTTAGTTGGAATTCTGTAGCTGTGACTCAAATTGGATGACAATGTTTGGCTTAGAAACAAATGTTTAGTGATGTGTGCCAAATTGTTGACTGGAAAAATTTAACAAATAAAGGGAACATGTTGAGAAGTACAAATATTGGT